ATACACATGTTTGTGGATTCTCAAACCAACTTCTCTATATTAAATAAAGTTCCTTTCATTCTAGCATCCTCATGCTCAAATGATATAAACAAGGTAGTAGCATCTCATCCAAAATCCATTTAAAGGTGGCGCAAAAAATACTGATATTTTTGAGACATGTGACCATGGAATGGGTTTGATAAGTTCATCCCTAAGATTTACAGCTTAACTGTCCATGTATAATGAAAACCATCTCGTAAGGAAGAAATGGAAATTAATTCTAATTTTTTTTTAGGAATCACTCAAGTCAAAACACCTTAAGGTTGCGTTTAGTTACGGAAAAACAATTTTTATATTTTATTTTCTGTTTTCCTTTGTTAATTTTTATTTTCCGTTTTCATTGGAAAATTTAGAAAACACGTTTAATTAAAACTTATTCATTTTTCATTTTTAGTTATAGAAAAATTAGAAAACATGTTTAGATATGTATTTTCGTATTAGTTTTTATTTTTAGAAAATGGTAGTGGTGGTAGAGTAGGGGTGGGGACGGCGGCAGGGGCAATGGTGATGTTGATTATAGCGACATTGGTGATGGTGGTGGCGGCAAAAGTGGTGGCGATGATAGGCGGTGGTGATGGTGGTGATGGCGGCGACGGTGGTGGTGATGATGGTGATGTTAGGTTGGTGATTGTGGTAGTGGTATCGGGTGGGTATGTGTGTGTGTGTTTGTAGGGTAGGGGTGAGGGTGTTTATTGGTGTGTGTGTGGGTGTGTGATTTTGTGGGGGTGTGGGTGTGGGTGGGGGTGGGTGTGTTTGTGGGTGTGTGTATGTGTGTTTGTGGGGGTATAGGTATGGGTAGGTAGGGGTGTAGTGAGTTGGGGATGATAGTGGGTGTGTGTTTATATTTTAGAAAAAAAAAATTGGACTTAAAAAAAATGTTTAAAACAATGATTATCGTTTTACCAAAAATTTCCAACTTCTTTGTAATTGTAGAAAACGAAAAATTATTATTTTCCGTAAAATTTTAGAAAAATAGACAAACTAAACACGTTTTCAAAATTCTTATTTTCCTTTGAATTTTTTTTTAGAAAAAAATATTTTTTCTGCAACTAAACACAACCTAAGTGATTTGCACATCATTCTTAAACAAGTTTTCAAATCAATTTAACAATTCCCAAATGAAAACACTTTCAAAATATGTGTACGACTTTATGTATAAAAAAATAACGTATAATAGTCACAAGCAATCAAAAGTATTATTGTATACAATTAGGCGGAAAGATTTATTTAAAAAGTTGTAATAAGGACATGTACTATTGGTATTTTATTTACCCACCTAAAGTATTCTAGAAAATCTTATACATGTTTCGCTTCTGTTCTCAAGTTGTTGGTGACGTCTTAATGGTTACCTAACAATATGAATTAGAGGGAATTATGCGTGCCGTTAGCGTTTTTGTTCATTTTTTTTCCCCTTATTTGAAGGTGTATCAATTAGCATAACATAGTATTATATTACTAAAAACAAAGTGACAAACAATTACTATGAAACATAATCACAACTGAGTAACAAAATTCATTTTTTACTAAATTTTATCAAAAAGTTGCTATTTATGCTTTAAGAAATATGAAGTTCATGGTAAACTACATTGCTATTACTGGAAATCTGCCTAAGAAACAATTACAAGATTAACTAATTAAAAAAATAAAATTAATTAAATAATCATATACATGATATATTTGGCAACCCTAAACTAATTACACCACCATCAACAATAGATAATAGTTACACAAGTTACCGGAGATCCCGATTGTTGAAAGTCGCAAGGGAGGCAGAGGTGAAGTGGCAAGGGCAACATTGTCATTTCACTCATACAAATCTTATATCAACTAGTCTATAGCCTCATAAACGGGTAAGTTTGCATTTTTTTCCTCCAAACTCACAAGAAAGGAGTATGGAGGCTGCAAAAGTAAAATTTGGTAAAGTACGGAAATACCCATATATGCAGTTTCATTAATGTTTAGAAATGATGAATGAAAGAGTAAACTTGAATAAAAATTGGAACACACGACTTACCTTTCTAAGATCTGGGAAAAAATTATAGCGAGTTCTAATCTTTTGCAAACGTCATAGTGTCATCGTCTGCATAATATATATATATATATATATATATATATATATATATATATATATATATAATATATATATATATATATATATATATATATATATATATATATATATATATATATATATATATATGTTACAATCTTGTTACCCAGAAGTAACTTGAAATCTTGTTTTATACAAAAAAATATGTAACATGTTTGTCTCAATGTTTTATGTAAATCCAATGATTTAATGATTTCATGTATTGGGATCCAAAAGAAGTGACACAAATAAATATCAATTAATGTTTAACTGTTTATCAAAATAAAATAAAGTAGACAAACGACATGTAACATGAATAAGCATCGCCTTATCGTTAAGGTTGGTAATTTCATCAATTATTGCATAATAAATTTCGTGTTAGAACTCTGTCAATCAATTTAAAATAATAAATCATCATTTAAAAAAATGATTCTTACTCCATCATCAACTACAATCGGTCTTCCAAGGCCATTCAACTCAGCTTCCATCTCTTTAAAACCTTTATTTATCAGGGAAATAATTCCCAGTTTTTTGCTTTAGTTACAGATTTCAAATGTTATTAATAAAATCATCCAAAAAACTAACGATATTATAAGTCATTGCTTTTAAAGAAGAATAGATCAAAATGGCCTTACCTGTCAGAGAAGCTTTGGTAGATATTCTGAACCCATTTTACTCACGAGGTGTCCATAATCAATACTTATTTAAAAATACTCCTGTTCCATTCAGCCTCTGATATGTTCATGGTTCCCGCCCATGGATGATTTAGACGATAACCTTTGCCTTCAAGAACCTTTGAAAATGGCAAGAATGTAATTAATTTTTTCAAATATAAGACAAAGGTTGTAAAAAAGCAAACAACACATACTTTGTAGTCATCAAATACAGGGCACTCTTCTCTATGTATAACTGAACATGAAAGAATGAGACGATATTGAAATCCATGAATATTTAATTACTAATATGAAAGCGAAAAATTAGGGCTTACTTGTTCCGTGAAGATAGAATGACAAAAGACGGCTGATATGTTGCCTATTATATCCGGTAAAAACGGTCAATAAAAAAAACGTCTAAAAGTTCCATGATTTTATTGGAAATTTTTTTTTAATATATAATAGTGGATAAAAGATTAAACCACAAATTGACAAGAATTTTTAAATGCCTTTTTTCCGTTAATCTCCCAAAAATAACACAAAATGTACATAATATTGGATTATGGATAAAGGGTATTTTTGAATTAAAAAGTTACATAGAAAATTGGAATCAACCCAAGATATAACCGAGTCAACTCACCTTTGAGGTATGCTATGGTGGATGATGGATTCGCACAAAAGTAACGTGGTCCAGTTACAAGACCCGAGCATATTGTCGCAAATTGTAACCTTTTTTCCTTGGCTATTTTCCATGACACGTGCTCTTACCCGGCACTTTGCAGAAATATGAAAGACTTTAAATACATAAACATCATTTTATTGAAAATAGGGCCATTAGATAATTACTAAACATAATCTATGTTAACATAAGACAAAAGTTTTATAACCCAAAAATATAAAATAAGAAAATTGAACTTAAATTCCTAATTAGCTATAAATAGATCAATCTTACCTCCTTTAGTAACTAAATTAAGACTTTGCTTACCAAGTTGTTGCCATTCTTGCCCCACCTACACATAATTCGTCACAGCCATGGTTGTTTTCAGATGGCACAACCCCTGCTCCAACTTCCAAAGTTTTCGAATGAGTTGTGTTTTTTGTCATGACATGTATCACTTTAATGTAAAAAGACGATGTAATGATGTGAAGGAATCTTGTTTCTAACCTACATTAATCAGTTTTGCATTGAATATTCGTCTCAATGTCTGTTAAGCTTGCCAAAGGGTAAAAAAGTCAAAACAAATTTAATAAAAATAGAAAAAGGGTTGTAAATTGAAAGTATAATGCTATTTACAGCATTTATAACAAAAAATTTGGAAAATGAACCAATTGAAAATGTATTTTTGTTTTTGGGAGGTCAAAGTACATTTAAAGAGATCAAGTACTGTAAGTACCTGTACTTTGCTGTCAACTTGAAAAAAAATTGTGTTATTAGCAATATCAATGCAGTGGTTTCAATAACAAAAAACAATTAAGAAAAAAAAAGTAGTAAGGTCGAGGCCAATTAAGTAGGCTAAGCAAAATACGACACAATAATAAAAACAAATGAATATAGTATACTAGACAATACGACACAACTCATACCTGATGGCTTATTGGTGCAATGCGAAAAGCGGCTTTAAAAAAAATGGACTTGTCAAAATACGACACAATAATAAAAACAAATGAATATAGTATACTATAATAAACAAATCAATGAAAGTATATAACTATTTCTTGCATCAACCCTCACCAAAATCTAGCAAAAAGGAGATTGATTACAAACATAAAAGATAGCAAAGTTTCTTTAACCTAAACAAAAGCATCAGTATCTCACACATAGTTAACATGCATTTCTTCTCCCACTTCAGAAAATATATGTATGTATGTATGTATGCAAACATCTTCAGATAGAGATAAACTATAGGTTATGCTATAATCAAATTATTTTATTATATTGAAACTAAAAAAAAAAAATGTTTTAAAAGTGTTACCAATCCAGCAGTACCTGAGCCTATCTATATTGACATCAGTCAGCCAGGCTGTTAAATACATCTGCAAAATAATACAAATAAAATTAAAAAATATTCATATCTTCAAATGGTGTATCTGTATTTCAATTTGAAGTACAATACTTGAGCTAATGGGTTAAGCACTTAATCTAGACATAATTACTTAATGCATATAGAACTTAATGAATGGGGAAAAAAGAAACAACCCCTTTAATTAGAGTGATATACCTATAAGATATCAGAATCTGGTTGGAAATTGGGTTGTAAAAAAATTGAATCTGGAGCTTCTCTATGATCCAAGTTGCAGCTACTTAAATTACCAAATTCTCCTTCATATATTTCATCTGACCAACATAGTCTTTTATTAATCTGATCTTCTTTGCTTCTAAGTGAAAGAAACTCTATCACAAGTAATCGCTACACTTTCATGCTCAAACCATGGAAAAAAATCATATAAACTGTAAATTATAACAAATGTTTGTAGAAAAAGTGAAAAACAATATGTTGCATTTTCAAATGTACCTTCAAATATAGTTCCAACTTAAGCATCTCAACCATCTCCGGAGCTAATTTCTCTAGCATCATTATAAATAAATAAAATATTAGTGTTAATTTCTCTACCTTTTTTTTATGTGTATTCTACTATAAACAATAGTGACATACCAAAAGTAGATATAGGGTAAAATGTAAAGACCGGTATGCCTCCACCATCACCATTGTCATTTGTGTCTTCAGAAGTGCTAGAAAATTGTAAAAAGGGGCTATTGGTTGCCCCTTTAAGGAAACATCTCATGGATGCACTTGTATAAGTAGTTTACAGGTAAATATTATGTAACTATATATGAAAAAGATAACATTTTTTTTTCATATTTGTAGCCAAAAGAAAGTATGTTGTTATTTTCAGTTCACATTCATCCTGCTGGAATTCAATCATTCTTGCATTATTTAGTATTCTTATTCATGTATAATCCTAAAATTAAAATAAAATCATGAAAGTTTAGTCGATTGATTTATACCTGAACATACTGACTCCATCTACAACTTCTTTCACTCTTTCAACTCCCTATTCGAACATTTCATCCTCTTAATCTGGTGCAAAAGCAATGCAAATCGGTTGATCAAAGTCTGGCATTAAAATATAACGCATAAAAAGTAGAGCAACAAAATAAAATACCATCCAAAGACACATAAAAACTTACATTTTTTCAAAATTTGCCATGGAACAACCACATTTATCTGCACGGGTAGGTGGTACCTCATATAATAAAGTTTCAGATGTCTGTAAAGAGAATTTTCTAGAAAAGTGACAAAATTATATGGTTTACCTTTGATTGCGATAAGCAGATAACTAAAGAACATCTGATCAAACAATATTAATCAGACGGTAATATTTTGTTCAAAAGGATTTGATGTTTCATGGAATAATATCAAACATACTGACCATACTTGTGGATGGCTAAAGAAATTTCCTTGCATGTAGGGTTCCATAAAGATTTCATATCAACCCTTCAATTGACGACACAAAAGAAGTAGAAATAGTATCGGATAATGAATAACCTTCTATGTCATCTCCGCCTAGGGCTTGTTTCCTTTTCATTTTCATCAACAAATCATTTCAAGCTTTGTAGTAATTGTGAATTATTTCATTACATGAAGTAATCTATAATAATAGAACTCTACGATATCAACTAATATTGGAACTTTAATGGAAGAAATCGCAACATACCTTTAACAGAGTAGCAGGTGAGAAGCGAGCAGTTGGAACCAGAGATGTGAGAATCAAATTTGTGAATGATGAATTCCTTCGATAAAAATGTCGGAATTGTCACCTGTTTTAGGATGACTTTTTCTTTAAACCTTTCATCCTTTTCGAGCTGCCTCCTCTTACTCCCATTGCTCCTAACCCTTTCTTGTACAGACTTCAAATCCAAAATTAGGGGTGAGATACCTGGAATTCGCAACTCGAACTTGAAGCCCCTTTCAAATTCGATGAAACCTACATAAGAATGAAATGAAATTAGACCCAACCAGCCGCTATTGGATGATAGAGATGTTGGAGGGGCCTACGCTCCGCCGACCACTTCCACTGATCGCCTTCGCTAACACCGACACCTTGCTAAGTTTCTATTGTTGTCGATGCGGTGTGAAGGGAAAGAAAGAGTGGTGGTGCACTAGTCCTTGGAAGGATACTTACATTTTGAAGCTTGAAGGAGTGTTCACGGTCCAAGAACTAGTATGTGTTCTTGGTGTTCTTGGTGTAAGTGATGAAGATTTAAAGATCTATCCAAAAGAGATAATTTCATGGATGAAATCATAGAGTTTTACTAGATTAAGGAGGATATCAACTTATAAATGGAAGAATCACTTACACTTTTGAAGATCAAGATGAAAATTCTTGATGATACTTGAGAGAGAATCGAGTTTCTTGACTTGGAAGTGTGAGAAGTGGTGAAAAAAGAAGGAATATCATGTATATGGGAGGAGTTTCCAGCCAGTCAAGAGATTACGGCCGTAATCTCTAGTTTACGGTCGTAAACTCCAAGACTTGGAGTTTTCTGGATTGAATGTTGTACAATGAACTCTAGCAGATACTTCCTAACACCCAATCCTTGAATGTACTAGGCTTAGAACACTCAAACAGACCCTTAACAATCCTAAAAAATAGCAGAAACAAGTCCGACTTTTGATTGAATTGAATGGTTTTATAAGATAGAAATTTCGGGTTGCCACAAAAGACCATTTTGCCCCTCAATAGTCCACATTTTGCCCAAACCCTAAAATTCAACAAAAGTCAACAGCAAGCACGTACGTTGGGCGTACTACATCACTATGCATGCTTCGGGAAACTTTGATGCTACGTTGTGCGTATCTAGGAGTACCCTCAGCGTACGTCCCAGACTTACAATTCCTACTCTCCTGGTGTTAATCCGTTAATACCATAGCTATACACTTATATGTGGACTCACTAAAGGCTAATACTCCATAAAGTTTATGACTTTAAGCCTTGGCATGACTAAGAAAGTCAAGAACTCATAAACTCTCACTCCTTACTCACAAAAGTTCTCATATAACATTCATGGGGAGTTGTTGACGTCCAAGATCCCATTTTTATGAATCCAATCAACTAATGACACTAAAAGGGACATGTATAAGGCTCTCGAGCTCAACAAACTCATAAAGTTTCAAGCTTTGGGACATAAGCCCTAAAATGAACCATAATATGCACAAATCAAAACAATGAGAAAGATTTGAGCTTGATACCTCCAAATGATGCACCAAATACAGAGAAACTCAGATCCAAAGCTTGAACACTAACTCTACTCTCTTTAAAGTTCCTTCTTCTCCCAAGAATTCCACAAAGAACACTCAAAAGCTTCAAATGGCTACTCAAGCTAAGAAAACGGAGGTTAGGGTTTTGAGGGGAGTTGAGGACTGAAAATGGTGGCTAAAAAAGGAGCCATCATTTCCTTTAAATAATGACACGCCAAAAATTAGGGTTTTCATTCTGGTCTTAGTACGCCTAGCGTGCCCTCTGGTATGCCCAACATACTAGGTGGTTTTCGCGTCCAAATCACACACATGAGTACGCTGAGCATACACATACGTACAACCCGTGTACTCAGCTACCAAAATTTTCTCAAATAAGGGCCAAACTTGACAACTAAAGAAAGACCAAGGGCAAAAAATATATACTTGGTCTCGAGTTGTTACACAAACGGGGCCTAAGCCTTGATCTGTAAGGATTAATTGCTTAATGAAGGTATTAATTTACCAGTTACACCACGACATAATCATGGATTAACCATGGTGCGGTGGTCAAGCGTCTTGCATCCATTTCGTCGTGGTTTGGCCATGACATGGCCAAGGATGTGCCATGACGGTGACCGTTGACTTCTGGTCAACTGTTTTAGATTAAGTCTTGGAGGGACAAAAATTTCTTTTGTTCCTAGATTATCTTATTTTAGACACAAATTTGCTAAGGAATTGCTCATTTCCTGATTTACCTTAATTATTAAATTAGGGTCATTATTTGTGTAGTGGTTCGAGGAAGTATCAGTAACACTTAGATCAGTGAGTGGATCACTTTATTAGTCACTCATGTGAGTTCTCATGAACTTACTTATTATATAGATAATATGTTTTGTGTAGTGGAATGGGGTAATTTATGTTAGCATGCTATCAAGTGTTATGTGTTTTGTTATATGTGACAACTATTTTATGTTTTATGTATGATGAGAAATAAATATGATCTGTATAATGAGTGAGTGTCATGATTTCTTACTAAGCTTTAGGCTTACAGTTACCATTACATGTTTAGTTGCAGGTCCTTTAGGTTCAAAGGGCAAGGAGTTGGCTTGATTGGGACATCTGGACATATGGGGGGCATGGCATCCACTTTATGTCTATCTTTTATGTTGATTGTTTTCATTACAAGAATTTAGCTTATACTTATGAAGATGAATTTGTGTTACTATTTTGGCGATGTTATGGATGGAACCCTTTTTTTTTTAAATGACATACTCTAATTTTGAAAATTTTATACTATGGTTTTTGGGATAATACAAATGAGGACGTTACAATGCAAATAAGTAAGAGAGGGGATCTATAATGGTAGTACTCGATGTGATTCTCTTGAACCACTAATCATAAATACATAGCTAAATTCAACACTAATCTAGAATAGACCAGGTTTTACATTCCGAAACCGAAGTTAGATGAGGTATAAATAAACGAGTGTTAAAGAGTGAGAGATTGCTTACTGAGATGTCCCATGAGGGTGGTATTTATAGTGTTGGTATGGAAGACATTGTCTTTGTTTTGGCTAGGTAAAGTTGTGGTATAATGTGTTTTTAGCCGGTTTGTTTGATGTACTACTTTTGTGAGGTGTACGTGGTATGATCCTATGTTGATTGTAGGTGCTCTTTCCACAACATGTGTTTGTAGATTGGGGATAAAATATGACGCTCCTACCGAGTTATGACTTGGAAGTCTTGTTTTTGTCTCCAGGGAATATGACTAATTAAGGTAATTAACTTTTCGGTATGTTTACATCTGGGTAACTATCTTTTTTTTTACACATCTAGGTAACAAACTTGTTGGAAGTGTTCACATATGACCATTCTGACCTGTTATAGCATGTTAAATCCTTGATGTGAACGCATTCAACAAGTTCGTTACCTAGATGTGTACAAAAAAATAGTTACCCAAATATGAACAAAACGAAAAGTAAAAGTAAATTACACGAATGATCCCTGTGGTTTGGGGGAATTCATGTTTTTGGTCCTTAACTTATTTTTTTAAACTTGGATAGTCACTACTGTTTATTTTTGTTGCACGTTTGGTTACTATCTTACATAAAAAGACTATTGTGCCCTTATTAATTTATTTTTTAATTAATTTTCTTATTTATGAATTTATTTTCTACATATTTAAAAAAATTAATAGACCCTACAAATAAGAAAATTAATAAATAAATTAATAAGGGCACAATAGTCTTTTTAGGAAAGACAGGGACTAAATGTGCAACAAAAATAAATAATATGGACCATCCAAGTTAAAAAAATAAGTTAGGGACCAAAAACACAAATTCTCCCAAACCACAGGGACCATTCGTGTAATTTAAGTTTTACTTTTCGTTTTGTTTTGGGTAACTATTTTTTTTTTTTTTTTTTTTTTTTTTTTTTTTTTTTTACACAGCTAGATAACGAACTTGTTGAAATCTTTTATATCTAGGATTTAATAAGGGCACAATAGTTTTTTTAGGAAAGACAGAGACAAAACGCGCAACAAAAATGAACAATATGGACCATCCAAGTTAAAAAATAAGTTAGAGACCAAAAACACAAATTCTCCCAAACCACAGGGACCATCGTGTAATTTAATTTTTACTTTTCGTTTTGTTTATGTTTGGGTAACTATTTTTTTTTTACATATCTAGATAACGAACTTGTTGAAATCGTTCAAATCTAGGATTTAACCTGCTATAACAAATCATAATGGTCATATTTTCACACTTCCAACAAGTTTGTTACCTGGATGTGTAAAAAAAAGATAATTACACAGATGTGCACATACCGAAAAATTAATTAGCTTAAT